CAGATCCTCGTTCGCACCAGGCACCGAGGACTAGAAAGCAACATCTTGCTCCACGGCTAAGGGAGTCAACGCGTCAGTCCCACCCGACATACCTGCAAGAAAACACACGAGGTGAGATAAATTCCTTCTAGCCGAGTCGTTCTCTCTTATTTAAATGGGGAAGAAGTTCGCACCTTTGCCATTCTTGGCGACCTCTTGACCGGGTGGGGAAGCCCAGTACCTCTCTTTAAATTCGAGCGGACCCGTATTGCCCAATTGCCCCAGGCGCCAAAGGTGGAAGCGTGGCCTCCGTTGGTGTCGTCGAGTCACGAACCTCGTCCCTATTGCCGGTTGAATCTGCAATAAATCAACAAAGTAAGGGACAGTGATATGTGCTATACGAGACCTACTGGGACAGAGAAATTACCTATGTACAAATTAATCGGGAAAGGGGCCCCTTGAAGCAAGGTGTCGAACTCCTCCTCAAGATCGGGGGCGGGAGAAGCAGGCTTACATTCACGCATCGATACACCCCAAGCGAACGTGACCGGGGACGAGATGGGAGCAGATGCCCACACCCATTTATTTTGTCACTTCCTAGCTACCTCTAGGTGCTGGTCGAAGAGCTTACGGCGTGATGATTGAAAAAGCGAAACAAACCCACTATCATCTGTTTTATTGCCAGGACGACTCCACCTAAAACAAACACGAAACAGGAGGATGGATGGCCGAATAGCAACCTTCTGACAATGAGCAACGAAAGCAACCGTAAACATGTGCGTGGTTTGGGTCATCTAACTCGGCGATAGCCCGATATGGGTAAGGAGTGTCACCAGAAAAGGGCATAATGGCATTTGCATGCACTGTGCCATGGATGGAATGTGAACCCCAAAAATTAACTTCGACGGTGGACTTGTGAGGTTGCTTCCACGGTCTGGCAATATAAGAGTGCAATCACTGCCGGCTAGACGTTTCGCCAACTTCAAATCTGTCTCTGTACTAGAGGAACGCAAACGCTCCCTCCAGGCATTAGGATCCTCAACACTGTCCGATTGCGCCGATTCGCCATTCGACTTGGACAAGCTATTCGACTGAGAGGCACAGTCCGCTACAGAGGCAGAGTTTTTGGCAGGTGGCGCAAGCTTATCATGCGAACCCTTTGGAACAAGTCGAAGATGGCCTTTGGAAATAATAATCCGTGTAGGGGGTCCGTCCAACCGTGACGACATGATGAGCTTTTCCCTGGACGTAGGATTTCCGGAGGGGCGATTTTCGGAGGAGCCTTGAGTTTCTTCTGGATGAACTGAAATGGACTTGAGTTGACCCGTATGGCCTTGATCAACGTGATTTTCATTGGTATCATCGCGAACACGCACTCCAGGACAAGGCCGTGCAACAAAGCCTTGAGGTGAGGACTGTGCGGACGTCTCGCCAGGGGTAGTTCGCGCAACCAAATCTCCGTGCACTCCAAGATGAGGCTGGGCAACAAAGCCTCCTGGTGTCGACCGTGCGAGCGTCTCCCCTTTTAATTATTAGTTTTACTAAAAAGAAAATTATTCATTTCCCTGTGGATACGAACTCTACTTCAACTATACTACATATTAGTGTTAGTATTGAATTTATTTTGAGTGCACTTCGCGACAAAGTGCATTCCAGTAAATTCCTAGCAAAGCGTTTTACTTGAATGGGGGATTTGAAAGCCTTTAGTTTTGGATAGAAGTTGTTAATTCTCAGAATTTCTTAACACATTTAGATGTTAGCTTATCATTCCATTTCTAGATGCTATTATACTCAAACATGACTCATTATGTCATGACTATAAATAAAAGTCAATGACAGTCGTCGCATGTTTGTTTATTGTAAAAAAATTGTTTTCGTCATTATCAACTTTACGTGGTTGTGTCAAGAGTAACTAATTGCAAACGATAACGGAGGAACGAACATTGAAACCGAGTATGTTGGTTATAAAGAAATGTTTCATAATATATAACATGGAATGTAATGTATTTTCAAATTATATACCGCGTTTTATTTACTTTTTTGTGTGTCTATAAAAAGTTGTGTATTACTCTGTAATCATTAGTAAATCACATTCAAACGTCAAACTTATTATTGTACGAAGTATAATTCTAAACGGTTCGATTAAAATGAAAAGTTTGTTTGTTTTTCCATTTCAAATTAAACTGAAAAATAACCATATGCTTAAATTTATATTTAGGCATAGTTTGAGAATAACATAACATATTTTCACTTATTTGCACACCCGCTTATTTGCCATGGTACATAAGGAATTCGTCTAACAAATGCAATTCGTATAGATGTAAAGTCGCCCTATTAGTATTATTAGTCATTATAAATAATTTACCTTTATCGTAACTAAAATATACAAAGTATAATCCATTGAATATGGAAAAAATATTTGCTAAAATTATATTGAAAGAAAAGATTCTAACAGGGGTTAGTGCGAGAAAAAGTAAAGGTGTTAACTCTCAAGCATTTCTTAACACTCAAGCATTTCTTAGCTTTTGACTTTTAAAAAGCTGAAATTTGTGTTTTCAAGTCACAACATCTGCTTAAATTAATTAATCAAAGCTAAAAGGTGTAAGCAGGTTGAGGGATGCTTGTAATATTTATAACGGCAGGGGTGACATTTATAATTATTCTGACAACTCAGGGGTGACATTTAAAAAACCTGAAACACGGGTCTGAGATTTCAATATGTTGGATAATTGAGGGACGAAATGTGCGATTTTCCCTTAAAGAAAAAAGAAATATCACCTCGACACTAAGAGCCCGTTTGGTAATATTATATTGAAATTTGACTGAATCGGCTGATTTTGCTGAAATTTATGAATTTCTGGCTGAAGTGGCTGGATTTGCTGATTCTACTGGTTTATGAATAAATTACATTTAAGATATTATTTATCAATAATTAAAGAAAGAATTATATGAAAAAATAGCTAAAATGATCCTCTATAGTAACTTCAACCAATATTTATCAATAAATAAAGAAAGAATTATATGAAAAAATAGCTAAAATGATCCTCTACAGTAACTTCAACCAATACAGCCAAAAAATAACTCTAAAATTACTTTTTCTTATTATTATACTCCGTACAATTTAACGCGCGAAATCAAAAGTTACGTGTTTCGTGAAAAAGTTAGCTGATAAGCCTGATAAACCGAAACATAAGATCACTAACGGGCTCTAAATCATTGATGGGAATCTTAATATTTTACCCATTTTAGGATATTATTATTATTAAAAGCTAAGTTCACGTGAATTATTGCAAAGTTCATTTTTGAACCACGCAAAAGACGACCACTAGCTGTCTAGGGAGCGTTTTTGCATCATGTGATTGATAGGTACTATTTAAACTTTATCCTATAAACTTTATACGGTACTATATTTAAACTTTATCCTATAAATATGATTGATTTCTGAAGCACAGCTAGGAGATTTATGGGATTTAATCTGCCAAACTCCGTCGTGAAATATAAACTCGACACATTAGTCTCACGTGATTTAAAAATTACGTTAAATCTCATGTGTTATACTATCCTCCGTATCGCATTAATTGCAACATTGGAATATATACACTATTCATGTCCTTACTTTGACTATATTTTATTTATTAATGTATGTGAATTATTATTTTTGAAAAATATTGTTAAATTCGTCTAATTACTAAGTTTTATAATCTGATTTTTATTTTATTTTTACTAATACAGAATTAAATATAATGACAGTCAAAGTTGTGCGTTGGCAAACGTGAAATTTTGACTGTTGCAACTAAAAAGAGATGGAGGAAGTAGTTAATTATGCATAGAACCCTTTTTATGAACAAATTTAATAATCAAATAAATGAAAAATGATTTGACGCGTTTTTCAATTAATCGCTTCGGTCTAATTCGTTAAATGTATATATCATGTTGGGATTAATTTGGTGCATTCAACATATTTATGGTTGAAAATGAAGATAAGCAAGCCCATGAAGGAATTGCTTAAAATCCTTGAAGACTGTTTTCTAATATCTTGATATATTTAGAATTGGTAAATGTGTTGAGTGACATCAACGATGTGAGTGAGGACCACGTTTGCATGCATGCATCCAGCTAATTGAGGGGGACATTTACACACTTAAGAACTTATATAGGATCTACATTTCAATATCAACACTATTTGAGGAACTTAAATTGAGATTTGCCCTTAAGAATTTTAAGATGAAATACTCTGTATAATTATATATTTATTAGTCTTTATTAATGTTGAATTTTATTCTTAAAGATCAACCTGATGAGAGGAGTAACACAAACTTACTTTCCTATTCCAAAATATTACATGAGATAGTATATACTCGATAGTAATAATTAATTAGGCATTTCCTTTTTCAGCTATCCTAAAATAAATGTTACATTTCTTTTTTGAAAATGATCCTACATATCATTCGTACTCTATCACTCTTCACTTTTTTACTTAAATCTACAATTCAACTTTATTATTCAAATTTTACTTACTCTTACCCTACTATAGTAAACGTAAAGGACAACTTAGATATTTATATCATTTCTATAATCCTCTCCTTAATAGCACTACAACTTTTGGAAAAAAATTCTCGCTCACCCGAACTCACATTTACGGCCGTAGATTTTAAGCACCTAATCTACTGCTTCTAACATCCTTCACATTCCTTCTATACCTAAAATGGCTTAACACGCCTAAATCCCTCCACTCATATCACCATGGATGAATTCTTCTCCTAAAATCTGAACAACCTCAACTAATCAGGAGAAATTCGCAAGATGGAGAAGGTACTGAGCACAAAGCTAGATCAATTCTTCCCGTTCCTTCATATTTTTACTGTACATTGAACACATTATTCCCGCTTAACCGAGCAACATCTTAACCATTCGATCAAAGGCATCTTTGCCGTCTCTTCACCTCTTTCCCTATTCTCATTCTCATCTTTTAATTTCCTTCATTTCTCTCCATTCGCCGTCTTTTCTAACATGTATGTGTCATCGGCTCATCGCCTACTCGCCTCTCCACCCCTCATCATCCTTCATCCAGAGTTTCGTTCATCAATTCCATTACCGCCGAAGAGTTTCACTCCATCTCAATTTATTCATCTCAATCAGGTATATTGTATCCTTACAATCTTCATTTTCAAATTTTCCAATTTTCTTTCAATTCGTTCATTCAGAGTGCACCTTCATCAATTTAGTTGCGGCCTCTCTAGCAACTGCCGGTAGCAGCGTGCATATCATCATCCAGATTTCAACCATAGCACCTTCTAAAGGTCATCACAGGTCCTTCATCAAGAACAAGATTGCTATCTTCATATCTTATCCTTCATCTGAAGTGGGAACAATCTCTGTTCGAGAATCTCGCATCTCCCTCTCTACCAGTTAGAAACCATCGAAGTTCAGATGCCTTCGTGAGAGTTCTACCACAGGTATTTTTGTTCTGTCCTTTTTTCATTTTTGAATTTCTCATTGTGATTTCTGTTAAATTTATTGTTTCACTTTTTTTATACTTCATTATATCGCACGTTGGGGTTGTTCAAGTTCTGGCTAGAAGGGAATCTTTATCAAATTAGGTTTCTGATTGACAACATAAAATCCTTTTGAGTGAAAGATAAAGGGTATCATTCCCCTTCAAATATGTTGATTTAGTTTACCAAAAAGGACTTTCTTTTGTTTTTTCAAAATATTTTCATTTTGGTTTCAATTCAACCTATTTAGTCATTGTATGTTATTACACTATTCGATCTATTTGTTTGTTTACTTATTTCTTCAATCAGCAATTTGAAATAATTTCACACTCTGCTTATTTGTTTGAATTTCATTAAAACAACACATATGATGGCAATTTCTAATCTTACTGTATAAGAAGAGGTCTCTGTTTTGTTTCAGAAAACAAAACATGCTGATTCCATTTGCCTTAGATGTTGATATCTTTTGGTCTAACAATGGCCTATTTTTTTGTAGTTAGTATTTACTACCCCTTTATACCGAAGTGGTAGCCCAGCAAGTCAAAATGTATTCCTATTGATCTGTCTTGGCCTCCTCTTGGTTCTTTATATTTACAAATTCTTGATTTAGTGATTTCAATTGTTCACTTCCAACACTGTGTTGGCATGTGCGAACCATTTTCTGATTTCAAGTAAATTTGTGAAAACCACTTATTTACTCGCAATTTCTGGTAAGATTAAAATTTAAATCGTTCTTCAATCCGATCATCTTTGATTTTTTCATTCCATGCGTGTTTGGAACTTTGGAAGTTGGAAATATATCAAGGTTGAGTTTCTGAAGTATTAATATAGGGTTCCAAATTTAAATAATAACATACGTAGTATTACTTATACTACCTTACAAAATGCTAGGATAATCAAGATTCATGAAATACTCTTAAAACCATAAATCCTTTTATCTGAAATGCCCTATACCATATGCAATTTATGTTTATATAGATTATATCAAAAATATGAATTCATTAAAAGAAGAATGCTCTAAATGCATATGAGGAAATTGGATCAAGTTTATAACATCAGTGGATTTCAAGTATATATCAGAATGGTGGATGCCTATTGTTGCTCACCTTTTCTTCTGACTTCATTTCATTTCAGGTAAGGCATCTAAATATACATAAGTTAAAATGAATGAAATGCTCTGCCCTTTTCTCTTCCTGAAATTTTTAAATCTCCATCGTCTTAGGTAAATCTCTGCCTATTATTTTTGTTTGTCTCAAATACAGTACACAAGTTAGTGAGCCTAATACATTTATTCAAGTATATGAACTTCAGATGGGGCACACTTGGCTATTGTTGTTACATTGTAGTGTATGTTATTCTTATAACGGTGCAGTGTATATTTAGATTATCATGTAAAAAAACCACGAGTTTAATACCTTTCTTATGCATGATGTCCAATTAAATGTTTAGATATATTTTCAATAAATAAGGGCATTATATTTTTAAAATAGTGGTGCTTACTACTTTAGCCAATTCCAATTTTTGCAGGTTTTGATTTGGTGGTGATTATGGATGAGTTTCAACTTCAAATAGTGCAGGTTTCTCTTACAAACTTTACTACCATTCTATTAATCAAGAAGTCCTCTGGAATAACATCTTAAATCAAATTTAGGTATATTTGATGCTTTGGTTTATACTTGGGTGCTACTCCTTCGTTGGGTTTTAGGTATACACCATGTGCAATAACTTTTAAACTTTGTTTTGTTATTTATCATAAGTTCAAAGGTAATATCATGATTCCTAATTCTTTTTTCCCGACCGTGATCAATATTATTATTCATTCCTTCACCTGCAATTTCTTGATAATTGTCTTTAATGTAGAGAAGAATGGGCTATCCTCTGATCAGATTTGGTATGCAATGGGGCTAAACAAAGTATTATTCTAGCAATCTTGACACTATGTTCTCTAGGAGATGAGGTTTATCTTTTACCCCTGATCACATTAACTGTATATTTCATTTTTTTTTACTTTTTGTGAAGTAAAAAGAGGCTTATTTTTTCATTGATAGGTTAAACCTTCAGTTAGTATTGGTGGTGAATGGAGATGGTTAGTATTGTTTTCCTCTAATGCTTTAAACATAATTCTTTTAGTCTTAAACTCAAGCAGTCCATGGTCTTATTTGTTTCTTGGCTGCTTAATTACAATCGTTTCTATATCATCTTGCAGAGTATATTTGCCCTGTGATATGAGCGTCTCCTTTCAGATACTATTGTGACATGATATTTAAAGTTATGAAAAATGGTATTACCTATTAGATTATTACTCTCTTTTTACAATGGACTCACATTCATTTGTTGTTGGTCATATTTGTGTACATTCAGCCTATACTGCAAGACTTTGCAGTACGATAGTCTGTAAGGCTTCCTTAACTTTGGAAAATATACTCAAAGGTTTCATGATAGTACCCACTATAAACCAGTTTAATCTGGAAAAGAAATATATATGCATTGTCTATGTATAACACTATAAGCCTATTTAGTACTCACTATATTTCTTACCACCCTTATTGGTGTAACTAAAAGTTTTTTCTTCAAAATTTATTTGACTTTGTAAAAAATAAATTGTGTGGGGAGGAACTTACTTTTTATTTGTGATGTGTTGATTGTCTTCTTCCTTTGACCCAATATTTCCCCCCATCTTTTTAATTAAGTTTGAGGATATATTTATGATAGTGGTGTTAATAATTAAATGCATTGCTTGATTATTGCATGAGAAGAAGATGATGTGGCAGAGTATTATAAGCAACCGGTAGAAACACTTGAGGGATTTAACAAAATGGATGCCTTAGCAAAGTTGTGTTCCAGGAATGTGAAAGGTACACCTTTTGTCATCTAAACATGAATTCATATCATGTTTTCTTTTTTCTGTAAGTCACGCTAACGGGGGAGAGGGTGAGAATCCATGGCTGAAGTTAGATATTGTATTTTAGAGAAAGAGAAGGAAAAAAATATGTTAAAAGTGAGACATTTTCTATAAGGATGCCAAATGGTGCAAACACGTTTCTTTCTTTTTACTGGTTTTTAAGAATGCCGCTAAGAATAAAGTAGAGCATTTCTATAACAACAATGAGGAATGATTTTAAATAAACACTATAATTATTAAGTAAAAACTGGGCTTTACCCATTCATATTCTTATTTTATGAATAAAGGGTGTCCAAAGTTTCCCTTTTTTGATTTTTATTTATAGTATGGACATGCAATCTTCAACTGCAGCACAATTTTAAAAAAATAATAAAAATGGGGGGTTCTCTAATTACAGAAACTATCCAAACCAAAGTGTTAATGTTGTTAACAAAACTGCCCAGATGATTATTCCTATTACCTAATTTTTCTGGAATGCTTTGCAACTAATTTTGTGTATATTTATATGACTGAGGTTTTCTTAGGCATGTTACTTTCAGAAATAATTTGAGAACAATTAGAATATTTTTGTATATAGTAGTCCCGATTAAATACTTTAATTGATTAAATACTTTAAAATTGAAGCATAGGACAATTTAGATCCACAAGAGGGTAACTGGACGGGGTGATGTAAGCTTGAAGAGATGGACCGGAAAAGATAATGAACTATACTTGTGGCAAAACAACAGCAGAGTGATGCTAAGTTGGCTCATGACTTCTTTAGGCTAGAATAGTTCAGGCAAGACATTGCAAATGCTGAAAGGAGGGAAAACTTCATTGCTAAAGGTGTTGCCAAAATGTAGAAATTATTGGCCAATGTGTTCTGTCCAGTTCTTAGAGAACAATGAAAAAATTGCTTCAATAAAAAGGAAGTAACAAATGTCATTTAAAAGAAAGAATGTTTTTAACAGGAGCAGGGATAAGCCATGTTTCTGAATTTCTGTATCGAAGTGAATGAATGTTTCTCTCAGTTTGTGTGTAACGACAAATCTTGCCCCCAGATCGGACATAACTACAAAGAGTTTGATGGATAGTCTACCCGGGGGTATATATCCGAAGGGTTATTGCGGGGAATAACTTAGAGAGAAGTCAGAGCAAGTAAATGTAGAGAGAGAGTGTATTCAGTATGAATGCCGTGGTCACAAATGGGGAAATGGGGTGCTATTTATAGTAGCAATAAATGCCAGACAGGGACACGTGTCAAGCGCTCATTGGCCGAGGGGTCACCTCAACTGGTTGGCGCTGGCATCCGCATGTGGCCGCATTTAATGCGGCTGTTGGATGGGACGTCTGTGCGGGGTACGGTGATCTGTACGCATGTGAGGCGGATATCTTGTCGAGTGAGATGCCTTCGGCTATAGAGCAGTAGCCGAGGGCTCCTCCAACCGACAGCACCATGGTGCCGAGGGCTCATAGTGCCGAGGGCTCATAGTGCCGAGGGCTACTGTTTTCGCCGTTTTCTCCCAGTTTCTTAATTTGCTTGAGAAACCCGTTCTGTGAGAGTTTAGAGCCTACGGCCAGGGGGCCGAAGGCACTCCTGGCGCGCAGTGCGGGCTGCTTGGTACTCTGGGCGCTGTGATTTGGGCCTGGTGGGCCTCCTAGGCCTGTTGGGCCTTCATTGGTGTAGTAGGAGTCTGTGGGCCGGGGGTTCCCGGGCCATATACTCCATCAGGAGTCCCTCACTCCTTTTGCCGAAAGGTACTTGAGGGAAAAGGAGTAATTTTGTGCTTGCCCTTTGATGTTGTCCTGTCGTGATCTCTGAAGTTGGTGAGGAGTTGTTGCTTTTATGTCCCTGCCGAAGGCAGTCCCTCAGTTACCCACATGTCGGGACTTGAGGGCCTGCTTTGTCGTTTGTTGGAATTTCACTAATTTTGTAATTTAATGATTTTCCCGAGGGGGTTCTCCAGTCCCCCACTCCTTGAGGCACTTGTAAAGTGGTGAAAAGGAGTAGAGTAGTAGAGCAGTTGCGTTGCTGTTTGTGGGCCGAAGGCTGACGCTTTTCGTTTCATTTTGGGGGGATGCCTCGTTAAAAACCTCATTAGGAAAAACCCTGTGGGAAAAAATCCTAATGAGGGAAAAAGAGTGCACCGAATTCCCCCAATGATGAATCGAAAATGTCAAACCTTGGTAAAAAAAGGAGAATAACGGGAATGCCGAAAGCTCTCTCTTATGAGGGCTCCTGTGTTGATTAGCCGAAGGCTTGCTGTTGATGTCCTGGTGGCGCCGAAGGGGAGCCCCTCAATCCGGGGATCGAGGGCTTGATGGATGAGGGCAGTAGTGGAGTTGTTACCGGGGGGTCCACTGTTCGTTGATTAGTTGGTGATGAAGATACCCGAGGGCTCCCATTACCTGTGTGCGACGGGTTATCCGTCAATGAAGGCAACTCCCCGGGGGCTACCCGGTTTTGCAGTGCTGAGGGGGAATTCCCGAGGGGTGCCCTGATATGAAGCCCTGGGTTTCTGAAGGAGTGATCCCGAAGGCGTCTGTTATGTGCTGTGTGGGGTACAACCCGAGGGCGCTTCTGGGTAAGTGTACCCGGAGGCTATCCTTGATGAAGTGGAGTGAAGTAGAAACCCGGGGGCTTCCAGAATATAGCCGTTGGAAATATAGCCGTTGGAATATGTAACGTCAGGATATAGCCGTTGGGGGGGGTACACGTGGCGCGTGACGGTTGGCTGCCCGTGGGCGGCGTCACCGGTTGGGTGAAAACACGGTGCTTAATGATGACGGTCCGTCCGGAGGCCCGGTTTTCGGGCCCAAGCCCGGATTCCAGCGCCTATAAATACCCCAAGGCCAGGCATTCCTCCGTGTGCGAAAAACTTGTTAGCGAAGCTCTGCCAATTTTTCTAGAGAGAGAAACAACAGCCCCCGGTTGAATCCTCTGTTCTTAAGGTCAGTTCTCCAGTTACCCTTCACCTCTTAGCTACCTGTACTGTGCCCTTAGGCTAGGAGATAGAACATTTAGAAAACACTAGTTGTACGAGCCTTCGAACTAGAGTCAGAATGTCGTCCCAGAGTGATTCTCAAGATATCTCGGGGGCGCCCTCGATGGAGGATGAAGTCCTCTCGGACGTGGAGTCCTCAGGTGCAGAGTCTTCGGTGGGACAGGATGCCGTCGTTGCCCTAGAGTTGCAGAAAGCCCTCGTAGCTGAGGCGGAAGCCGAGGGCTTCGAACAAGAATGTGAGGACGAAGAGTTGGCCCTCGCCTGGAAATCAGCTGAAGAGGAGGCTCAAAGAGAAAGCGAGATGGTCACCGTTGCTGTGCTCCCCCCTCGGGGTGCCGGGGAGGCCAGCACCTCCCGGCCTCTGAATGCGGTCCCCATCCGGGTGGCCCCCGGAAAGAAGAAGGCCAAGGCCGCTGCTACCAAGAAGAAGGGCAGCGTAGAAGACCAAGGGAAACCCCTCGATATGCCCGAGGGGTACTCCTACCTCAACACCGCCGCATTGGAGATCAAGTCGAAGGTTGATGCGGCGGACATCTATGTCACCCAACTTCACGTGGGCCCCTTGGCCATCGTGGTGACACCGGGTCCGGATGACGTCCTCTCCCGGGCTCCCGAGGGCTGCATTGCGGTGCACGTCCTCTCAGTATCCATGGGGCTCCGCTTCCCCCTGCATCCCTTCCTCCGGGAGTATCTTCGGTTCGTGGGTCTGGTTCCCTGCCAGCTGACCCCGAACAGCCATTCTTATATCACCGGCTTCCTTCAGCTCTGCAAGTCCCGGGGGGTGACGCCTAGCCTGGACCTCTTCTTCCAGAGCTTCAACCTGTGCCGGGGGGGGCACGCGAATGTCGAGGGATTCGCCAATTTGCAGCAGGTGTCCATGTTCAAACTCTTCACTGAGGCGCCCTCCTCGAACAAGGGGTGGAAGGACCGGTGGTGCTATGTGAAGCTAGCCGAGAGCCCCTTCCCGAGGGAGCTACGTGACCGCTTCAGGAGGCACGAGAAGAGGAGGAGTGCCGCCCTCGAGAAAGATGGCAGGATTCTGGCCATGATCCCGGAGGGCCGGGACAAAAATATCACCATCAAGGAGTGCACCAAGGAAGCAGATCTCTACACCCTCGGATTCCGGCGGTACCGGTTCCTGGGGGAAACAGACGAGAAGTTCCCAGTGTTTGAGGGAGCCTCCGGAGGTAGTTGCTGAGGGCATTCTCACCCTCATATCTTAGCAAATTATTTACTTGCGTCGTTTATTTTTTTATGCCACTTATTAGTGACCCCTCGATCCTAACCCCTCATTTTTTTTGCAGGTGTTCCAGTAAGCATGATGAACGTCAAAGGCCTCGCCCGACTCAAGAACAAACCGGCCAAGGATCCGAAGGGGCCGGACGCTGGCGGCCAAAAGCCTGTCGGTGCGCCTCCCAAGAAGCCCGAGGGCGATGCTGCTGCGGCAAAGAGGAAGCCGTCGGCAAAGGAGCCCCCCCAGGCCCCCAAAAAGTTGAAGAAGGGGGACGCCGCGAAGGATGACCCCCCGGTGGTGATTGTAGATGACCCTCCGGAGATGCCGATGGCGCAGGTGCCGAGGGGTGCCCGGGAGCCATCTCTCGAGGTCCTCACGCTCTCCCTTCCGGCTGGCACGGCCGTGTTGAATGGCACGGCTGACCCGAGGGCGCTCCTGAGAGGTATAACCCTCGATATCGACAGGGCAGCTCTCGGGGCCGATGATGATCAAGCCCTCGAAGACAGGATCCTCCGGTCTTCCCTCACGGTGAGTTCACTATAGTTTGTCTTTCTCTTTCCCACTTTGAACTAAGAAATCACGTTCGGCCCTGACAACTCGTTTATCTTTGCAGACTTGTGTTGCCCTCGGAGAGCAGTTCCGACGGCTGGAGGAATGGCGCCTCCACAAAGCTGGGCAAGACGCCAAGATGAAGGAGCTGATCCTCAGGGACTCCCAGGCCACGAAGCTGATGACCCAGCTTGAAGAGGACCTCCAGCTTGCGAGGGCGGAGGCCGGGAGGCTCAGGGAGGAGAAGGCAGAAGCTGAGGCGGCCGCTGCGGAGGCCGCAAGGAGAGCAGCCGAGGAGGCCGAGGCCATCAAGGCGAAGGCTGTCGCCACAGCCCGGGAGGAGGCCATCTCCGGGTTCCTGGACGGGGGGTGGAAGACCGAGGGGCACAAGGCATGGCTGTCCTCGGTTGTGGAGGCCTCGGTTGATGAGTGGTCTGAGGGCCCGGGCGAGGAGTGGATGGCCCGAAAGGGTAAGCAGTATTATGATGGGGGTGAGTTCTTCACTCAAGCCCTCATCTACCGGAGGATGGCCCGCCATCTGAAGATTGAGCCGAAGGACTTTGACCCGGCGGCGTACGGGCTCCCCCCTGCAGCCAGACATCCGTGTTCCTCTCCCCCCTGATGTCGAGAGGCCAGACCTGGAGGATTCTGAGCTCCGGAGGGAAGCCGAGGGCGACGATCCTGAGGCCGATGTAGAAGTCACCTCGAAGCCATCGGGGGAGGCGGCCCCCGGGAATGACATTATTTGATATGTACTTTGTACTTTGAACACTTTTGTAATAGCCACATTAGCATGTTTTCGGCCTCGGTCAACATTGTAATAACTACATTTACTCCTTGCTGTGATGAATGAATGATTGCCTTCGGGCTTTGTATCTATGGCCTCTTTTTTTCTAATTCCTTCCCTCTTGAATGTATGCCTTCGGTATTTTTGAATGTATGCCTTCGCTCCTTTGAATGTATGTTTTAGGACTTAGAGTATTTTCTGATTGTAGCTTGCCCTTGGAAGCCTTCGGTAGTTGGGCACCCTCTGCTGGACATACAACCGAAGGTTCAGCAATAATCAGGACTTAGAAAATTTTTCTAAGTGTAGCACAACATGGGGCCTTCGGGTGTTTGTAGTAACCCAATTCCTAGGACTTAGAAAAAATTCTAAGTGTAGATTTTCTCTTGTGAGCCTTCGGGAAATGGGATCCCTTCCTGATGTGTGAATATTGGACCGAGGGCCCAATGTTCAGGACTTAGAAATTTTTTGCAAGTGTAGCATGTCATGTAGCTTTCGGCTACTGTGGAGCCCCAACTGAAATATTGATTAGGCCGGGGGCCAATTCTTTAGGACTTAGAAAATTCTCTTCAGTGTTGATTCCTTGTGTATTGTAGCCTTCGATTGATAGGTAGCCTTCGGCTATTGGGTCCCTTTATAAGTTGAGGGTGAAATATGTAGGACTTAGAATGATTTCTAAGTGCCGTTTTTCTGGGGAGCCTTCGGGAGATGGCACCCTCCATGATGTATGAGTAGTTGACCGGGGGGGGGGGGGAAATATGTAGGACTTAGAAAATATTCTAAGTGTAGATTTTCCCTCGGGAGCCTTCGGGAGATGGCATCCCCCCTTGATGTATGAGTAGTTGACCGGGGGAAAAACATGTAGGACTTAGAAAATATTCTAAGTGTAGATTTTCCCTTGGGAGCCTTCGGGAGATGGCATCCCTCCTTGATGTATGAGTAGTTGACCGGGGGGAAAACATGTAGGACTTAAAAAAAATTCTAAGTGTAGATTTTCCCTTGGGTGCCCTCTGACTCCACATCACTTTGCGAGATGCCCGGGGGCTGCTCATTTAGGACAGAATATATATATTTTTCAAGTGTTGTTGTATTGCATGGCCTTCGGCTACCATATTCTCTTGGCTGTAATATTGATTGGGCCGGGGGCCCAATCTTTAGGACTTGGAATTTTTTCAAGTGCTGCTTCCTTGTGTAGCCTTCGGGTGATAGGTGCCCTCTGACTCTACATTACTTTGCGTAAATTGATGTTGAATCCTGTTGTTGTGAAGAAAGCCAATGAGGAGTGTGTGCCCTCGGCATACACTTTAAAAGTTGTAGAATTTTGACCCTTGTCATGGGGTAAGGGCCCTCGGTGCTAGTGCGTAACAGATGCCTTCAGTATTTGTTTGAAGGTACCGTTTTAGTGTACTTTGGATAGTCCAGTCCCTTTGTATTGTTGAAGCCTTCGGTGTTTGTGTGACCGGAGGTGACCAGGCAGTGGACTTAGCCGTTTCTTGATGCTATTTGTTCGAGTAGTATCCTTCGGGAAATAGGAGCCTTCAGTTACCGGGGGTGTTCCCGTGGGGAGCCCTCGGCTTGTCGTGATCTGTTGGAGTGTACTCTTTGATTTCTCGCTGAGTCTACTCCCCTTCACTCCCTTTTTTTTTTGGTTGGTGGTGAAGGGAAGGCATCAAGAAACTTGGTTTCTTGGTAAGGCTGGGCCTATTAGGAGACCATCAGAATACACCAATGGCTCTCCTCCCTCGGGTTAACCTTCCGAGTTCCGAGGGGATCGAGGGTCGTTTCCTGGGCACAAGATATGGTGGTCCGTAACCTGCCTCCCCTTGGGGGATTGCGCGGAAAGCGCCTCATTTTTGAAAGTCGTCCCCTCGGCGCTAGACATAGTCCGTGGCCTGCCACACCCTTGGGGTGGTGGTGCGGGGAGCGTTTCGGTTTGGAAGTCGAATCCTGGGCATTTCTCGTGCCTGTCACACCCTTGGGGTGATGACGCGGATAGCGTTCCGTTTTTGAAAGTCGAATCCTGGGCATTTCTCATGCCTGTCATACCCTGGGGGGTAGTGACGCGGAAAGCGTTTCAAGGAAGGGTTTTCATTTGCACACTAGTTGCAAATGGCCGGGGGCACTACGTGCCGCCGGCACCGATGGTGGCGCCTTCGGTATATGCGTCCTCGTGGGGTACGGCTTTTAGAAACAACACTTGGTGTTAGTTTCGATGTATAGCCCCCGGTACTTGGTACCGAGGGATCTTCTATATGAACACTTGGTGTTCTCTTTTGTTGCAGTTGATGGGGGTGTCTACCCTCGGTACCTGGTACCGAAGGGTCTTCAAATGAAACGCTTGGTGTTTCCCAACAGATGTTTGGAAGTTGATAGGAGAGCGTATCCCTGGCACTGGGTACCGAGGGGTCTTCTGTAGGAACACCTGGCGTTCTGATTGGAGTGTTTGGTGCCGGAGGGGCCCTCGGAGGGAACACTTGGTGTTTCCCAACAGATGTTTGTAAGCTGATAGGAGAGCATGTCCCTGGCACTGGGTGCCGATGGGTCTTCTTTGAAACATTTGGTGTTTTTTCTTCGTTTCGATGTTTGATGATGGAGGTGTACCCTCGGCACTGGGTGTCGAAGGGTCTTCTGTAGGAATACTTGGTGTTCTCATCTTTTCTTTTTTGATGTTGAAGGGGGGGATGTACCCTCGGCACCGGGTGCCGAAGGAAAATGAATTACATGGCGTTCTTTGTTGTTGGTGATAGGAGTTCCCTCCCTCGGTACTTGGTACCGAGGGGTCTTGAGTGAAAACACGTGGTGTTTTCACTGTTGTTGTAGGTGTTGATGGTGTCCACCCTCGGCACTTGGTGCCGGAGGGGGTTCTTCTCGTGGTGAGGCCGGGGGCCTGTAGTCAGTATGAGGGCTTGATGTCTTGAATGTATCTTCATTCTTCGAAATTGGAGGCCTTGGGCCATAGGATAGTACATTCACTAGTTATGAGGGCTTAGCCGCTCTTACATTATTGATAAAATTTAACTCAGTGGTGTACATTCCAGTGCCTAGGGACTTCTTTCCCATTGGGGCGTTTGAGCTTGTAGGTCCCAGGTTTGATGATGGCTGCTATGATGTAGGGTCTTCGAATTTTGGTGCCATTTTTCCTCCCTCGGTTGGTTGGCTGGCTTACCTCCTCCGGAGGACATAGTCCCCCACTTGGAATTCTCTGGTGCGAACCTTGGCGTTGATGTAGCTTTTGACTTGCCTTCGGTAATTTTCTGCCCGGATGAAGGCCTGCTCCCGGCATTCTGAAATGAGGTGGAGGTCGAGGGCCATGTTGCTGTCGTTGACCTCGGGGTCATATTGGATCACCCTTCGGGTGGGAAGGGTGACTTCTGTAGAAGCTTTGGCTTCAAAACCGTAGCACAGGGAGAAGGGTGTTTCACCTGTTGCTCGCCGAGGGGTGGTGCGGTAGGCCCACAGGATGTTGTGGAGTTCTTCCACCCAGCTACCGCCCTCGGCCTCCAGCTTCTTTTTGAGGCCCTCGAGCAAGGTCCGGTTGGCATTCTCTACTTGCCCGTTGCCTTGAGGGTATGCAACGGAGGAGAAGGTGTGCTTGATGCCCCATGCCTCCAGAAGGGCACAGAAGGGGGCTGCCTCAAACTGTGTCCCATTGTCGGAGATAATTTGCTGAGGGACGCCAAACCTTGTGAGGATGTTCTTGAGGACAAAATGACGGCACTTCGCCTCTGTGATGCTAGCGAGGGGCTCAGCCTCCACCCATTTGGTAAAGTAGTCGATGGCCACAATGATGTACCTGTTGTTGGAGGTACCCCTCGACAGAGGGCCCACGAGGTCTATCCCCCATCGAGAAAAAGGGACAGATGTGCTGATGGGGGCATAGTTGACCGCTGGCCTGCCGGGGGCTTTCTGGAAATGTTGACATGCGGTACACCTCCGGGCAAGGTCAGCACAATCTCTGGCCATGGTTGGCCAGAAGTAGCCCTGGAGGATGAGCCTTCGGGACATGGAGAAGGGTCCCTGGTGAGCTGAGCAAGTGCCACTGTGCACTTCCTCCATTGCGACCTCGGCCTCATCTTGATGAAGGCATCGAAGTAGCGTGCCATTGTAAGATCGTTTGTAGAGCCTTCCATCTTCGATGGTGTAGCTAGGAGCCCTCAGCTTTGCAAATTTAGCGCGGGTCTCATCCTCGGGTAACTGCCCTGTGGAGATGAAGGCGGTGATATCTTTGATCCAATCCTCTTTGCGTTGTTGTATGTTCATAACGGGGCTTGCATGGATACTTGAGAGGCTGAGTTCCTCAATTTGGGCAATTTTGGAGATGTGCTCGGGGGAATCGGCCGAGAGGTTAGATAATATGTCGGCCTCGGAGTTCTGAGCCCTCGATATTTGGGTGAGAGAGTTTGCCTCAAATACCTTAAGCAACTCCTTGGCCGCTTCCTTGTATTGTTTCATTCTTCCCTCCTTGGCCTCATATTCTTCGGAGATTTGGCCGACGACCAACTTGGAGTCGCATTTGATGTGGATCTGCCGAGCCCTCATGTTGGCAGCCAGCCGAAGGCCACATAGGAGGGCCTCATATTCGGCCTCGTTGTTGGAGACTTTGAAGGAGAAGCGGATTGCATAGTAAGCTCTGAAGCCCTCGGGAGTAATGAGGACTACCCCTACCCCGCATGCTTTGGTCGCAGAGGAGCCGTCGGTGTAGAGGGTCCACCAGTCGTCCGAGGTGGCCGAGGGCTCCCCGTCCGTGGCTGCCCTTGCGGTACATTCCGTCACAAAGTCCGCCAGGGCTTGGCCCTTGATGGCAGGCCTCGGACGGATGTCAATGTTGTACTGGATCAAGAAGATAGCCCATTTCACCATGCGGGAGGAGCTGGTGGGGCTCCTCATGAGGGCGCCTAGGGGTTGATAAGTGAGGACCTGAACCGGGTGAGCCTGAAAGTAGTGGCCCAACTTCTTGACAGTCCAAACAATGGCTAACACCGTTTTTTCCACAGGGGAGTACCTGAGTTCGGCCTCCCTTAGAGTCTTGCTAACGTAGAAGATGGCATGTTGGATGCCGTCTTCCTCCCGGATGAGCACAGAGCTGATGGCCG